AGGCTGTTCGAACCACATGACTGATCGAAAGGAGTGGTTGGAAGATTTTGACAAGTCTAAGAATAGAAAACCTTCTTCAATCCACAAGCTTCGACTGGGCAATGGCTTTCTTCGAGCAACTAACAAATGCTCAAAAACGACAAAAAGTCTTCTATGAAAGTCGAGCATTTATCTAGTTTTCTAAAGAATTTAATCATACAAACCAAGTTTTTTATCAAAGAAATGGTATTCATACAAACTATGCTCAAACTTTGCAGGAAAGAAGACCATGGAATGAAGAAAACAAGAAAAAAATATTGTCCTGTTTCGCTACACCAAAATTCCAAAAAAAGAACGTTCGCTAAGTGAACTCATCTCGCGAAGAGAAAGTAAAATTCCAGAACTGAAGACCCCAGGTTCGCTGGAAGCGAAAGAAAGAAAAAGGCAGCAAAATCGCGATTCACTTTGCGAGACTAACTTCGCGTAGCGAAACCAAGTAAGTAGCAAAAATTCTAAAGTTCGCTGGAAGCGAGGAAGAGCGAAGTCCAGAATTTTGATTCCTTAAAGCTGAAGTAATAGAGTTCGCGAAGCGAGGATTAGATTGTGAAGTGAACTTTGGCGGCCTCAAAAGACAAGTTGCAAGATAAAAAATTAATTGAGAAGAAACAGAGGCCTCTCGAAGCGAAGTATGGTTCACTCAGCGAACTCAGGCGGCCAAGAAATCTATAAAAGGGACCAAGATCAGTTGCAGAAGGATATATGGTTTCTTAGAAATTACGGTTGATCTTAGTTGAATATAAAAATATTGTAATAGATAGGATAGGGAATCGAAGATACGAGTTAGATACGCATCAAAGATCGAGGAATCTTCATTGATGCTCATTCATCTCCAACTCTTCCTTTTTGTGCAAGCTACCATGAGCATGGATAGTTAAACTCTCTCTTGCTAGGGATTGGAATAGTCTACCAAATCATATGTATCTTATTCTATTATGCTTTTAATATAGATAATGTTTTCATGATTATTGATTCTATCTTCTTTATAGTGCTAAATTTTAATGAATCCAATTGTTAATGAAAATTGCATTTGAATTCAAGAATAAAAGATAAGAATCACTTAAATACTAATTTCTAGACATAGAATTAGGTTTAAGATCCATATCAAATACTTGATCCTATGAGTAATCGAGTTGTTTAATCGATTGAGATATCGTCAATTAAACAAACAGAGGAAAATCGTAAAACTATTGTGTAGACATACATATGGTTTTGACATAGTACATGGAAATATGAATGAAAACAAAACTAACGCAAGTAATAAATAAGATACATATGTGACGGTAGAGGAAAACCAGCCCCTGCAAGATTATCTCCCATAAAACCTTTCACTTACGTCATTTTCGTTATAAGCTATTTTTCGTATTTTCGTTACTTTTCAATTATCCTGTCTTACTCGTACTTTAACTTCAAGGATATTGGTAATCTAAATGTTAGTAATATCGCTCCAGTCTCTGTGGATACGATATACAAAATATTTCTTTTGATAATACACAACATCAAAATGGCGCCGTTGACGGGGACTGGCATTTAGATATTACAAACCTCATGATTACTTCCATCTCTAAAGTTTGTATATCTATAATTAAAATTGTATAGACTTTCATTTATCCTAACATTTCTTGGTTAGAATTGTACAGCTTTGTGTATGCGAGATACGAGTTCAAGGAATTGAGTTCCTTTGACCCCGAGATCGAAAGAACAACCCAACAGAACCAAAGACGCACTAAGAAGCTAAAGCAATAAGCAAAAAACAGAAAAAAGGAAATTACTTCTGAGCTATCAACAACTTCAACCACTACAATAATGACAGAAGCAGAAACTGTTGAAGGACCCTGTGAAAGCAGCCCAAGGAGATTTGCCCGTCTCAACAACAATCTAACCGCACGACGGGCTGAAATGAAAACAGGTTTATTGCAGTTAGTTTATGCTAATCCTTTTGCAGGCTTGGACCATGAAGATCCATATACCCACCTCATAAAGTTTTATTAACTTACGGGCATGTTAGATGCACCGGCAGCTAAAGAAGAAGCCATATTCATGAGACTTTTTCCGCACTCCTTGACTGGTAGAGCAAAAGATTGGTATCTCGACCAACCAACCGAGACCATGACAAATTGGAATGTGTTGGAAAGACTTTTTCTTAACAGGTTTTTCTCTCACATCCGGTTCATGGACGCAAAAACAGATATTTCCTTATTCACCTAATATGTAAATGAGACACTATATAAAGCCTGGGAACATTACAAATCAATGTTGCGAAAGTGTCCAAACCACAACTTTGATAACCTCACTCAAATTCACATTTTCGCAAGGGATTATAGCCTCAAACTAAACTCATGATGCAACAGCTGGTGGTTCATTGATAGAAAAAGTGTTGAGGAAGCAACAACGATTATCAACCGAATGTCTCTCACTGATCACCAAAGTCAATATAATTGAGGAAATGCACAAAAGAAACCAGGAATTCTAGAATTGGACACAAATGAAACAATCCTGGCCCAAAATAAATTGCTCACCTAAACTGTCGAAGAACTGACCAAACAACTTTCAAAACTTCCACAATACCTTAAGGAGATGCATGGTTCAACAAGAACACCACACCAAGTATCTGTATGTGTACTATGCACGGGAGATCATCAAACCGACTTTTCCCCCCACTCGAAGAAGAGATCAATTACATGGGAAATCAGCAACAGAGATTAGCACCGTACAATCAAAACTACCAACGAGGATATAATCAAAATTACTATCAAGGATGGAGGCAAGAAGCTGGGACACCAACTAGGCAAAATATGTATCAAACCAATCAACAACCACAACATACAAATCAACAAGATAGAACATCAAAACTCGAAGTTACCTTGCAGCAATTCATGAAAATGTCCATGGCTAATCAGAAAAACACCGACGCTTCAATCAAGAATCTCAAAACATAAGTCGGATAAATAGCAAAGCAATTGGCAGAATAATAGGGAGGTACTTTCACCGCCACACCTCAACTAAATCCAAAGGAGCAATGTAAAGAAATTGCAACTAGAAGCGGTAAAATATTGGAAGCATCCAGCAACGACCAAAAATAACAAAGCATAGTTGATAACAAGGAAGAAGTAGAAGAAAAGGTGGAAGAAAAAAAAACAAGGAGCTAGTGAAAAAAGAGCAAAAAAATCAACGAACAAATGATGAAAAGGGAAATATGCTCAATCCACCTGTTCAAAATCTCCCCTACCCGCATGCTCCAACAAAAAGGGATAAAGAAAGGAAATACGCCTGATTTCTAGACATCTTCAAAAGATTACAAATCAATATTCCCTTCGTAGAGGCACTTGAGCAAATGCCAACATATGCACGCTTCATGAAGGAAATTATAACAAAGAAAAGAAGAATAGCTGATGAAGAAACCATACATCTCATCGCAAGTTGTAGTGCTATCATTCAACACATTATTCCTCAAAAAGAAAATGATCCAGGAAGGGTCACGTTACTACTGACCATTGTAAACGTAAATGTGGGAAAATCACTAATTGATCTAGGCTCCAGCATCAACCTCATTCCACTTTCCGTAATACGAAGGATTGAAGACTTAGATATGAAGAACACCGGGATGAATCTGCAACTCGCCGACAAATCAATTACAAAACCATCTGGTATCATTGAAGACGTTCTTGTCAAGGTAGATAAATTTCTATTTCCTATTGATTTTGTTGTCATGGATGTAGAAGAAGATGATGACGTACCCTTAATTTTGGGACGTCCTATCATGAAAACCGCTTGCATAATGATTGATATTGAGGACGGTCTAATGAAAGTGCGTGTCCAAGATGAAGAGGTCAGCTTCAACCTCTTTGATGCCATGGAACATCCTAAAGATAAAAAGGCATGTTTTAGAGTTGATGTAATTGATGAAGAAATCATGAAAATACATGATCAAGTTCACTTGACAACACCTTTAGAGAGAGCACTCATGGACGCTGTTGATATTCTTGACTCGGAGGAGGAAAAAGAGTCGGATGAATGGTTGACAAATCTGAACTCAGCAAAAGAAACACCAATAAAAGAGGCTAAGATTGAAGAATTGCAAGAAAATTCCTTGGAGCATAACATCAACTTAGAGCTGAAATTATTACCGGATCAATTGAAGTATGTTTTCTTGGATGAAGAACACACAAAACCAGTAATAATCAGCAAATTCCTGAACAGAAATGAAGAAACAAAGCTTATTCAAGTTCTCAAAATAAATCAAGGCGCTATCGGTTGGGTGCTTTCAGATTTTAAAGGAATCAGTCCATCATATTGTATGCATAATATCATGATGGAACACAACTATAAACCAATTGCTCAACCATAATGACACTTAAATCCAACAATGAAAGAAGTTGTACGCAAAGAAGTCGTCAAGCTGTTGGAAGCATGTATGATTTATCCAATTTCGGATAGTGCTTGGGTTAGTCTTGTGCAGGTTATACCAAATAAAGGAGGAATGGTGGTGATCACAAACAAGAAGAATGAGCTAATACCAACACGGACCGTAACCGGATGGCGTATGTGCATTGATTACCGAAGACTTAATCAAGCAACAAGAAAAGATCACTTTCCACTTCCATTCATGGACCAAATGTTGGAAAGATTATCTGGGCAACAATTCTATTGTTTTTTATATGGATACTCCGGATAGAATCAAATTATAGTGAATCTCGAAAACCATGAGAAGACAGCCTTTACATGTCCATTTGGTACATTCGCATATCGAAGAATGCCCTTCGGTTTATGCAATGCACCAACAACATTCCAAAGATGTATGCAGGCCATTTTTTTCAGTTTTGATTGAGAAATTCATTGAGGTATTCATGGACGATTTCTCTGTGTTTGATTAATCTTTCTACCTATGTTTGGAAAATTTGGACACCGTACTGAAATAGTGCGTGGAAATGAATCTGGTCCTAAATTGGGAAAAGTGTAATTTTATGGTAACTAAGGGCATAGTCCTTGGACATAAGATTTCAGCCAAAGAGATTGATGTTGACCAAGCTAAGGTTGACGTCATCAAAAAGCTACCACCACCAATCAATGTCAAAGGCATCCGAGAATTCCTTGGTCATGCCGGTTTTTATCGACGTTTCATCAAAGATTTCTCAAAGATCGTCAATCCTTTAAGTAATCTCCTCAACAAAGATAGGTCATTTAATTTTGATAAATATTGTTTAACTACTTTTGAAAATATAAAAGAAAAATTAAGCACTGCACCTGTAATCACTGCACCCGATTGGAAAATCAATTTTGAACTCATGTGCGATGCAAGTGACTACGCGGTCGGGGTTATTTTGGGATATAGAAAAACCAAAACTTTCATGCTATACACTATGCGATCAAAGTCTTAAATATGCATAAGTTAATTATGCAACCACAAAAAAAGAAGTGCTCGCTATAGTTTATGCATTAGAAAAATAACGGTCTTATTTGTTATACTGACCATGCAGCCATCAAATTCTTGATCAACAAAGCGGATTCAAAACCAAGAATAATCCGTTTGATACTCTTATTACAAGAATTTGGTCTAGAGATCCGTGACAAGAAAGGGACCGAGAACTTAGTTGTTGATCATCTGTCAAGGTTGGTAAATTCTGAAATTACAAAAGAGGAAAGAGAAGTCCTTGAAGAATTTCCCGATGAAAAACTACTCATGATTGAGGAAAAGGCCATGGTTTACAGATCTTGCAAATTACAAAGCATTGGGTCTTATTCTCGAAGATCTCAATTGGAAACAAAAGAAGAAGTTCTTACGCGATGCAACTCATTACGTATGGGAGGATCCATACTTGTTTAAAATTGGGGATGATGGGTTACTAATACGATGTGTCACAAAAGAAGAATCGAGACGCATTACATGGCACTGCCATAATTCACCATATGCAGGTCATTATAGTGGTGAACGAACAGCTGCAAAAGTACTGCAAGATGGATTCTATAGGCCATAATTATTCAAAGATACGTATGAGCATTCCAAGAATTGCGATAACTGTCAAAGGGATGGAGGAATCACAAATAGAAATGAAATACCAATGCAGAGTATGTTAGAAGTAGAGGTATTCGATTGTTGGGGGATCGATTTTGTTGGAACCATTCCCTCATCTCAAAATAATGAATACATCTAGGTGGTTATTGATTACGTTTCCAAATGGGTTGAAGCAATAACATCACCAAAAGAGGACAACAAAACCATGGTAAAATTCTTAAAAATAAACATCTTCACAAGGTTTGGAACACCAAGGATCCTGATTAGTGATGGAGGCTCGCACTTCTGTAATGCACAACTAGAAAAAGCCCTTGAAGATTATGGTGTTAAAAACAAAGTAGCATCACCGTATCATCCCCAAACGAATGGACAGGCTGAGGTATCCAATCTTGAGATCAAAAGAATCTTAGAAAAAACCATTTTAACCTCACGAAAGGATGGGTCATTAAAACTTAATGAAGCTCTTTGGGCTTATTGCACCGCATACAAAGCACCAATAAACCACACTCCCTTTAAAATGGTATACGGTAAGGCCTGCCATTTACCGGTGGAACTTGAGCATAAAGCTTTTTGGGCCTTAAGTGATCTCAATTTTGACTCACAACACACCGGTACGAAAAGGAAGCTACAAATACAAGAACTCGATGAAATAAAGCTGCAACCGTATGAATCATCCAAACTATACAAAGAGAGGGTGAGGCGATACCATGATAGTAAAATTCTGCCAAAGGATTTCAAAGTTGGTCAAGTGGTCTTACTCTTCAATTCACGACTAAGATTGTTCCCTGGAAAACTCAAATCAAAGTGGTCCGGACCATTCTAAATTAAAGAGGTTAAGCCGCATGGAGTTGTTGTATTATAGGATCCAACCACTAATGCAACCTGGATTGTCAATGGTCAGAGACTAAATCTATACTTGGGGGTGAGGTTGATCGAATCACCACTACCATTCTGTGATGAGAACCATAGAAGTGGCAAAAGCGTCAAGCTAATGACGTTAAAAGAGCGCTTTTCGGGAGGCAACCCGACACTGTAAGTATCTACTAAATTCATTTTGTTAGACAATTGTTTTGGGAACATGGAACATGGTGAAGCAAAGAAGCAGATCTGCAAAACAGTTTGATTTTGCAGAGTTCGCTAAGCAAACTTAGGTTCGCAACGCGAATGCTCGACCCAGAAAATTCCGCTATAGCGAACCTCTTTCACGAAGCGAACTTGCGGTGGTCAGAATGACTTTATGATCATTAATAACACCACCTACTAGGCTACCCTTCTTTATGCACGCCTAGTAATTGTTCCCTAAAAGTTGTTTATTGTTCCTATTCACTTTTTATCCAAAAACTACTTCATCCTTCCTCTCACTTCCACATATCACAAATATCACTTCTTCATCTTTTCTTTCTGGAACAACAACCTCCCTCCTTTACATCTCCAAGAGATCAGCAACATCAGGGTATGAAAAGTATATGAATTCTTACATCTTAAATTTGTATTTCTGTCATAAAATAGAGTTGTGCAAGATCTTGTCTTTCTAATGAAAAAGGGTTTTTTCTCTACTGAAATCTCACATGTGTGAATCACTTGGTAAGAGCATACTTGAAAACATAAAATAAAACATCTCTTATGCCTAGCTCATAAATGATGGAACAATAACATAACATGTAACCATACTTTCCCTTGTTACTTACTTGTCTAGTTGAAAAAGAGGAAAACATTGCATAATATATGTTAGATCCCATATCTGTTGATTATTCATATGCTTGAAAAAGAGAAGTAGGAAAGAATAGCTCTGTCTAAAATTTGGCAGATATCGCAGAGTTCGCGATGCAAACTGAATCTCGTGAAGCGAACCTCATATGACAGCACAAAACCATTTTTCTGACAGAAGAGATTTTGTGATATCAATGCAGGCATGGCTCCAAAAAAGGACAATACCTCTAAGAAGAAAAAAAACTCAGGGGCTGGCACATCAAGAGCACAGGAATCTTACGACCAAACTCGCTTCAATGGACCAGAGCAACAACAAAGGTTTGATGAATTGATGGAAAGACGCGTCTTGGATGAAAGGATTTTTGATCTCAACTCTGAAGGTGATTACAGATCCCCTTGTGATTTGTGGAGAGAACGCAAGTGGATGAAACTCCTGAAACCCCATTTCAACGTAAACACAGATATCCTTCGAGAATTCTATGCGAATGCTTTTCCCTCAGAAGGAACACCATTTTCATTCTCTACCAAAGTTGCAGGAAGAAAAATTCATTTCAATAGAGATGCAATCAGTGAATTCTTGGGTGATCCTGTTATTTTGAAAGAAGGACAATTGTGTTGCTACCAAGCTGCAATCAACCTAAAGCAAATGTTGATAAAATCTCAAAGGTAATTTTGTTGGAGGGACGAAGCATGGAAAGGAATTCGTCCGAAGTTGCAATCCATTACCATAGGGAAGATCTGAAACCCGAAGCTCAAGTCCTTCTTCTTTTCATTCTGCACAACATGAGGCTAAGAAGTCATGCCTCCACCTTCACAATGGACACGACTAAGCTTCTACATCTAATGATGACCGGACGGAGGATTGATGTTGCACGGATAATATCTAATGAGATGAGAAACATGGATGGAAGTGGTAAGGAATATGGGTCTGGAATCGAGTTCTAATGTCCTCTTGTTTTTCCTGGCCTCGTCATGGGATTTCTCATTTCCTCACGAGTGCGGCTTCCAAATCTCACCATCTTCAAAATCAAAACAAAGGTGGATGATAAGTATGTGGATCGCTATTGTTTAGAGAAGAAGATTAAGAAAAAGGAGACGGGGGAGACTTCATCCGCTACTCTCAATTATGGAGATTGGGATCCACGCCTTCGCCAAGCCTTCTCATACAATTGGAATCAAAATGATTCCAATCGTAGAGTTGTTCTTTCCTTACAGAATTCTTTTTACAAGATGCAGATTCAGCCTGGCATGCAGTCCAATGAAGGACAACAACTCATGTAGTCCAATGAAGGCGTGTCCTGGGGACAGGCCTTTCTATGAAGAGGAGGAGGCTGGCCCTGAAGATGAGGCTGAAGTTGGAACTTCAGGAGGTTTCAAAACTACATTAGAAGCGGGTTATGGCATGGAATCCGAGTTCATGGGAAGAGAAGAGTAAAGGATGATGATCATGTTGAAAGCTCGCCTTTAAATGAGTGAAATTTTATAATGCTTTCAGTATTTAAATTGCATTAAGTAGTTTTCATTCCTATTAGTATTTCTATTCATATTTTCAAGTCAGTGTTTGTGATTTTTATTGTAATACTTTTTGACGGTAATATTACCATAAAAACTCATGACACTTGGTATGTATGCAAAAGTAACATTTTGTTTCGGTAACTTATGTCCCTTCAAAAATGAGCTGAACATTCTTGATTGACCTTACATCAAAGGTTGAAAGCTCCAAAAGCTAAGAATTTTTTTTGCTCCAACCGAAATTCAACGAAACACGCATGGTAATGATAATACTTTGGACAAAATGCAAAAGGCAAAGGTACATGTTTTCAAAAGCTTTGTTGAATAGTAGCATGATTTTGTAATGATGGTCTGCACAAATCATTTCATGCTTCAATTTTGCAAACTCATACTATCTTGCTTGAATCTCATAGCCAACAAACAGGAAAAGTGAGGAGCCTTCCATTATGCACAAAAAGAAATATTTATGAATAATCCTTGATTGAAACTCGATTGGTTCATGAGGAATCTAAACGATTACTTGGCGAAATTCTTTTGTGAATCATGAGCTCAAGGATAGAACAAATTATGAGGCAAACAACTCAAGTATAACCCTCACAAAATCATGAAAAATACTAGCAAAAATCACTTGACCAAACAACTCAAGTATATAGTTGGGGAGAAAAGAAAAGAAAGAAAAAGAATTCATGAGAAGAAAGAAAAGAAAGAAAAAGATATAGTTGGGGAGAAAAAGAAAGAAAAAGTAAAACATGAAACCCCCTCAAAGCCAAAAGAAGCATAATTTACAAAAGGAAAAAGATTAGAACCTCATCTCACAAATACACCACCTATCATTGGTACTCATGCTCATTAGAGATTTCAAAAAAAAAACGTCAAAGATGAAATCATGAATTGATTAAGATGTTGACAAGGTTATTCAAGAGAGTTCAACACAACATTTAAACTTAAAAGGAAATCTTCATCATTTTTACGAAGAAAAAGTGTTAGGATGGTTCAAGAAAATAAAAATATGGCTTGCACTAATGAAAGCATGAAATGATCCTTGTATGGAACGTTATCATGCTTAATTCTACCAAAGTGAAAAAGAGAACAAAAAGCCATTGGTGGAAGCATACTCCATTTTTGAACCATAGCTTTTCACGA